TGACAAGACGTAAACTAAAATGTCAAAATATGGCCTACTTGGGTGGTTCCAAAAACGGAAGGATCATGAACAAGGAGCATGCTCTTCGAAACATTTATTTGGGCATTATATACTTTACAAATTTTCATAATTTGTTCCATTTTAGTCTAATCATAATATAAGTCTGCAATGCGCGAATGCATGAGATTTAGTTTGCGTTCAACTCGATTTTGATTTCGTGTAGCTTTTAATACTTAAACGTTATGTGTGTGCTTTTTTTCATATATGTATGTATGTTTGTATGTATTTCTTAGTCATGAAGTTTCGTCTAGTGTATGGATAGATTATTATTAGGTGCATTATAACTAAATTTCTTTAATTTTGTATGGTATACCTCAAGTATTTTTTGTATGCATAACATAATTCGTTGAGAGTGGCTTCCTTGTCCCTCCAACATATGCACGTACGAGTATGTATATTTTTCGAAAATATACACGGGCTTTATCTAGACAGTGCTCAACTGAATCAATTTCTGATTGAAGAATATACATTACTTAATACGTTTTCTTTCAGCAAAGATTTTTACATTAGCTTTCAGTTAAATCTTCTAATACTGTGCCAATTGTGTGGTTAATTTATACTCTTTTCGTTGCAACAATTAACTGCCATTGCACAATAAAAACCTGTATTAAGTTGCGTTTTTTGCATTTTGTCGTTCTAAAATTACATCGTTTTGAATGCTGACCCAATATTTTGAACATTCTTTAGCTAATTTGGCAGTGGATCGATAATCAACTTTAAACAGTAACAAAAATAATGATAGAGTGGCCCAAAGCTGGCAGCAAACATTCCCTTCCGTCTTAAACAATTCAAAAAAGAAAACCATAAACAAAATGATAAAAACTATAATCTAGGTGGATCTAAGTCAAATGCCAAAAGCTTTAGAATCCATTTGTCGTTGTCGCTGCATCGCCACCCCATTCCACAAGGTACTGAACCTGACCATTTCCCATGCGGCGCTTGGCACGAATGGCAAACGATTCGCCGGCATCAATCCGATTCATGGCTCCTCCAAAGTACTTGTTCACAGACTGCTTTAGATCCAATATCGAATGTCCATTGCCAGCACTGCTGCTTCCACTGGTTGCCGTCGAGCTGATGGAATTCCTGCGACTCTCGATGGCAGAGCTGCGAGCGGATTTTCGCGGCCGCTGGCGCAGCAGCCGGCCATGCGTGGGCTTATCTGGCGGCGGCGCTGGCGGCAGCAAATCTTTGGCATATAAGGGAAAGTATGGGTTCGATAGAGGATTGATGGTCGTGGTATTGATAATCTGTGTAGTAGGAGACAAGAAAACAAATGATTATGATTCCATTATATCGTATTTGCTTTGTTCGCGGTTCTGCTCTTACCTCGACGGCTGTAGTCATGCGGCGATTGCGACGCTTGCGCACCTCCTGGTTGGGGCCCTATGGTTATATCTTTGGCACTCAGTCTTCGCTTTATGGTGCGCACGACGCGCGGCTGATCCATTCCGCCTCCCTTTAGCTTAAAAATGCTGTTGATGACGCCAGCGACACCAATGCCCGTTCCCGTTCCCAGCCCGTATGCCAGGCCTTTTTTCACTTGCGTCGATTTCTTGGGTGTGGCCATTAGAAAAGGATTGTTGCGACCTAGAAAATTGACTGGCGGCGGAATAATGAGGTCCAGGGAGCTGGTGCCTCGACTGCTGCTTGAATTTTCATCGGACGAAAGATCACAGTGGTTGCGGCTGTTGTCGTAGCGCCTAGACAAGTGGAAGGCCTTTCGTTTGCGGCTGCTCTTGGCGTTCGGCTGCGGTGGAATAGGAGCTGGCAACTTGCCATGTTCACCATCGTTGGCATTATCATCGGCTAGGTCGAGTGTGTCCACAGTAACGCGGTGGTCCTGCTGAAGCTCCTGCACTACAGGGATTTTGTTGGCTTTCTTTTTCGCTTTCTCAATGATCTGCTTTATGGGTATCTCATCCTCGCTGGTGTTGGTCGCGTCATCCTCATCCGTACGGAACTCGTACACATCTTTGGAGACACTCTCTTCCCTGGGCATTAGCAATATGTTGAACCTGTTCACCAGCACCTCATCACAGATCTCCTCGTGTGATTGCAGCCACACTTTTGGTGTCACGGGTGGCCCACTGTGCCTCAGGGCAAAAAAGTTTGGAGCCCGCTTGAACTCGCGTCCGCACACAAATCTCTCCGTGTGATCCTTCAACGTTTGCTTGAGGCGCTCCATTAGCGCCGTCTCTGGCAGCGTCTTCCATTGCTCGGATATGGGCAGCTTGTGGCGCTGTTCGAGTACGAATGGCCAGATGTCCTTTAGCAGATGATGGTACTTCTGGTGCTGATGCTTGCGCAGATTATAGAGCGCAATGTGGAGCATATCCACCCAGTCGATTTGCAGTCGTCGCACATATTCCACGCCATCGTTGCACACCGTGCAGCAGAATACAAAAAATCTGTAAGAGAAATTAAATTACATTCTGGGTCCCAGTGAAGAAGGTGAAAATCGTTATCCTTACGTGTCGCCCCGCAGCAGTTTTTCCTTAAAGTTCTGCATGCAGTGAGTGTGGAACCAGTTCTGGCATTTGCAGCACTGCAGCATGTTGTGATCGAATTTTCCCGGCTTGCCGCAGTAGCAGTAGATTTGCTCCTCGTTGACCCTATGCTTCTCATCCCAGCTGAGTTTATCCGCCTGCGTAACGAATCAATAATAGTCAATAACCCTTTTGCAATTATCTTCTCTCTGTATGATCTACTCACATGATAGGGCAACTGACGGCAAATTCCTGGAGGCTTCTTCGTTGTTTCATAATTCAATGGCTGTTGCATTTTCATGGGCTTCACACAGCGTTTGCAACTCCAAATCCCACTGCCATTGGCTATTTCGGTGGTGCAGCCACGATGGTAGCCACGGCCACAACGTTCGCATATTTCAACGACATCTTGTAGGTTCAAGCGCTTGCAGGCCACACACATGGGCCCACTATCGGCGGCATTGGAGGGTTCCGAGCTACTGCCGGCGCCTCCACCGCCGCCTGCAGAGCCGCCGCCCAGCTTGCGTAGCTTTTCCGGCTCGTGCCACTGTTCCGATTGATCATCAAACCGGATCAGAAACTGATCTGGTGTTTCCCCCACGATGGTTCCCAAATAGAGCCTCCCATCGTCACACTTAACGAACACATCCTCCTGTAGGGAGTAGCTAATAGCGGGGGGCGGTGGCGTTGGAGGTGTCGGCGGCGCTGAGTCGATGCTCTTGAAGCTCGGCTTCATTTGGCTCGACACTTTAAGCAGCGTCGGTCCGGGTGTGGGTGTAGGTGGTGGTGGAGGTGAGGGCGAAGACTTTCCCGGAGAACTCATTGTCTCTGGTGTGGTTGGCGGCGTGTGAGGTGTCGTTGTGGTGGAGTCCGGTTCATCTATGACTATTACAGCGGCAGAGGTGGTCGTCCCTCCACCATAGCTGCTGCTGGAAACCGAACTGCTGCTACTGCTACTGCTATCGGCCGTACTGCTGTCAATGAGGGGCAGGATAGCCTGGGCCTTGTGCTGGATAGCTGGGATGATGGGTGAAGGCTGCTGGGCCGTGCCGAGAGATGTTGTGAGGTTGGTGCTGGCGGCGTCTGAATAGAGATTGTTAATGCATATGTTGATGCGGTCCAGGACCACTGTGGGCGGCGGCTGGTTGTGGGAAGCATGGCTCACGGGCTCCCGGGTCGGCAGTGGCGGCTGTTTGCCTGCCACCAGGCCTTGGTTCAGCTGGCGAGGCGGTAGTGCTCCCGCCTGGCGTGATGGAAAATAGTAGGATTGAACGGGAGCATACAACTGGCGATGTTCCGGCGATGATTTATTAAGACTGTACACACTGGGAGCTGTCGATATAATGCGTATGTTGTTGGCCTTAAACGGGTTGGAAGCAGCAGTGGACGAGCTGGCAGCCTGCTGCTTGGTCGGAGGGTTCTGCTGGCCATAGCTGTTGTTTATCTGTATGCTTCTGGGATGCGTTGGCTGCGTTGTGGTTGCATAATATCGCTTCGGGCCATTGGCAGAGCCTCCGCCAGTGGCGATGCCCTGCGTGGATGGCAGGATCTGGTAAGTCATCCATTGGGGCTGCTGTACATTCTGCTGCTGCGGCAAGTAGCTGTAGGCTGGAGCTGGAGTGGGAACGGGCGCTGGTCCTGAGAGGGGGGGAGGCTGCTGCTGCAAGTACGGCTGGGCAACATTTTGTGGTGTGTGCTCATGTTGCATGTGAAAATGGTTGTTCATCATTGCTGTTGTGTGAGTTTTATGTGCGAATTATTGTGCGCAGTCTTTTCTGGAAAGAAAAGGAAGCATCCTTTGATTAGAGCAGCCGGCTTTTCTTCTCGTTTCCTTCTGCGCTTGATTAATTATCACCGGGCTCAGCAGCAATCTGGCGCCTTTTTCAATCAATTTGTTGTTGCTTCGTCTCAATACACGCTCACTCAGATTACACGTATAGAGGTCTAGAAGCGGGCCCTTTTGTATTCTGTCTTTCTACCTTCGTATTTTCACACCACACACACGACGGGACACATTTTCAAATGCGATGTTACCCACCTTTTAGTGTGTTTCAACACTTGGATTAAATTAGCAATGCATTGGAATACATTTAGATGCAGGCTTTAAGTATAGTTGTGCCTTAATACAAGCAAAAATCCACTAAAACAATCACTTGCGGCAATTAAAACTTTTTTCCAGCACACTGTGTTGGCAAATGCCCAACGACCAGTGCTGTGCAGCGAGTAGCTGCAGCGTTATCGGTGGGATTAAAATAAAGTAAAAGCCGGAACAAAATGCAAGGGCGTAATTTCTGTACTGCATTTCTAATGCCAAACTAAATTAAAATTTATAATTAAGTTCAGAAAAAATGGGGTCAAAATTCAAATAATTGAGCGCCAGAATATGCCAGACGAATCGAAATGTCTCCGATTGATATAAATAGCACCAGTGCAAATTTCGATAGGCTCATTTGCTACTCTGACGAGCGATAGCGATAACCGCGAGACGAAGAAGAAAAGGAAAATAAATTTTCGTGAAACTACGCTGTGCATAAAAAAGTGAATAAATCGGTGAAAACGAAGCTGAAAACATAGTAAATGTTGAAATAGTTTGGAGCGAAGTGTAAAAGACGCAAAATACATTTTAAAAGACTATATAACGGAATTTTGTAAAGCTCGAAAATTGTTAAGGTAGGTAGGTGTAGGCGGAGGAAGAGAGAGAGAGAGAGAGAACTTGAATTAAATGTGTGTGCAAGTTATTAGTTTGTATGACGCATTTGGCCGTAGTTGCAAATATCAAAGTTGCAACAACTTTCACATCAAATCGTATTTCGTCAATCGTGTCGTACCTGCCCCCCTCCTCGCATGCAGACATATGATCACATCCATATATGCTCATGCAGACACTAACACACACACACACACAGACACATATAACGCTAATGGAACTGAACTGTGGACCAGAGCCAGAGCATGTTGAAAATTCATTGATTTAATTTGTTTTCTACTCGTTTTTCGGTACCCTTTTGCAGCAGTGGTAGTGACTATATGTCCAGGCCGCGTTCATCTGTAAAAGCCGTGCAACACAGGCACGAGTCAAGCGAGGAGGAGGACGACGAAGAGGAGCAGCGCTCTCCGCGTCGCAATATGCATTCATACGGGGATTCGAGCATGGGCAGCGGTGTGCCCGCCTTTCTGGCCAAGCTCTGGCGTCTGGTGGAGGACCCCGAAACCAATCATTTGATTTGTTGGACAAAGGTAAAAATTCAAATGCCGCCATGTTGTTTATTTACCTTGCTTTGCTGCTCTTTTCCCAATTTACTCTTTTTTTTTTTATTAGCATGGCAACAACAACTACAACGCTGCGTGCAAGGTGTCTTACGCTCTGCTCTCTACGTTTTGACTTTCTCTCCGGCAACGTAGTCGTTGTTGTTGCTGCTGCTTACAGTGTGCCTCTCTGCACGTATGCATTGTTGTTATGCGATTTGCATAGGCCACAGAAGTGCGTACGTGCGTGCCCTCTGAAAATTTTCCGCTCCTTGCCCGCTCCAGCTGTCAATCGAAAATTTCCCCCTTTCCCCCTCTACGGTCATTTGACTTGGTCATTCTGGTTTGCAATTACATAGATAAGAGCAAATCCAATCGTTTCTCTTACCAAAGAGTGCGGTGCTAGGACCCTGGGCCTGATAACAGCCAGTATGCCAATCAATCACATGAAGAATTGTTTATTCACATTATATGTACATATGTGTGTTCTTATAATTAGATACTTATTTCTGTGACCAAATATATACTTTTATACCGGAGAGGGGCTTATCGCTAGTTTTTTGGTTAACCGCAACTTTATGGTTTGATATCCACTTATCATCATGACTTTCCGTTTTGCTTTCGTTTCCAGGATGGCCACAGCTTTGTCATACAAAACCAGGCGCAATTCGCGAGGGAACTACTGCCGCTCAACTACAAGCACAACAACATGGCCAGCTTCATCAGGCAGCTGAATATGTGTAAGTACAAAGGATGCACAGAGATACGACAAGATTCGGTTCTAAGATGGATTCCCTTTTCTTTTACCGTGCAGATGGATTCCACAAGATCACATCGATTGAGAATGGCGGCTTGCGGTTCGATCGCGACGAGATTGAGTTCTCCCATCCGTTCTTCAAGCGCAACTCTGCGTATCTGCTGGACCAAATAAAGCGAAAGATATCCAACAACAAGAATGTGGATGACAAGGCGGTGATGAAGCCGGAGGCTGTGTCCAAGATATTGAACGATGTGAAGGTGATGCAGGGCCGGCAGGATACCATGGACTCGCGCTTCTCAGCCATGAAGCAGGAGAACGAAGTGCTGTGGCGCGAGATCGCCAGTCTTCGGCAGAAGCATTCGAAGCAGCAGCAGATAGTCAACAAATTGATACAGTTCCTCATTTCGATCGTGCAGCCATCAAGGAATATGTCGGGAGTGAAGCGGCACATGCAGCTCATGATCAATGATACGCCGGAAAATGCACGCGCGCGTACCACCAGCGAAACGGAGAGCGAAGGTGGCAGTGGCCCTGTTATACACGAGCTCAGCGAGGAGCTGCTAGACGAAGTAATGAATCCCTCGCCTAATCGATACGCCAACACCGCTCACTATGACCAGGAGAGCGCCTCTCCGCACTCCGTTGAGCGTCCACAGTCAATAAATTTTGACTACTCCAATCAGAGCGTCGAGGACTTGCTGCGGACTAACAATGGAGGAGGTGGCAATCTTCTGCAAGTGGGAGCTGGAGCTGCCTCCCCTCTGGCCGCTAGCTTGAGCCAGTCGCCGGCTGAACAAATTGCCTATACAGTGACCGAGCTCCCGGATACTCATGTCCAAGAGGTGTCCAGAAGTCCTGTCTACACCGATGAGCATAATGTGCTCACGCCCCTGGTGCGTGAACAGCAGCGTGAGGAGGAGCGCCAGCAGCGCCAGCAGCTGAAGGAGAAAAACAAACAGCGGCGACAGGCCGGGGACCAATTGCTTGCCGCCAACGCCATCTTAGTCGAAGAAGGCTCTCCCAAGACTGTGCGCACGCGCTCCCAGCTCAAAACGGATTCACAGTCCAATGTGATGCCGCAGCCTGTATTCATCAAGACAGAGCCCGAGCCCGATACCGGATTGCTAGACCTGATGAATGGCACGGACTCGGACATGTACAACGTGAACTTTATCAGCGAAGATATGCCGTCGAATATATTTGAGGTACTTTACTTTTACTTTTAGCTAAATGTTGCACGCGTATTAACAACAAAATCAATCTCCCTGCAGGACTCCTCAACGCTCTCGACTGATGTGGGAGGGGCTGACAAGCTGAATCAGCAGCAGACATTCGGCAAGTCCACAGTCGGCAGTGGAAAGTTTGCTGGCAACTTTGATGTGCCCATCACTGGCAGTAGCAGCAGCAGCAGCAGATCTCTGCTAGACGCCAATCAGGCATCCACTTCGAGGGCAGCGGCAGCCACAAAGGCCACAGCCACTGAGGGCGAGGCAGCAGCCATGGCTGTGGCCAAGTATGCGGGCGAAAACAGTGCTGTTCGGGAGGGGAGCAATGGTCCTCTGATAAGGATTAATTCTGTGTTAGTAGCTGAGAAGCCTTTATTAAGCCCCAGAGCGGTAGACAATAATCAAGAGGCCATATCCCCTTCTTACTGTTACAGTGACGATGTCCATGGGCATTTGGATAATGTGCAAGATGAGCTTGAGACCCTCAAGGATTTGCTGCGTGGCGACGGCGTCTCCATCGATCAGAACATGCTCTTGGGTGTAAGTATTGATATGACATGATAATTCCCCTCCCCATTCCATTTACTTGGGCTGCCAGAGATCGTGTCCGTGTGTCCGAATTGAATTTGATAACAAACAAACGTTCTATTTCTATACGATTATGTACGACTAGGCTCTGGCTAGGACGTCCATTTTGCAGCTGACCGAAGACGACCAGTTGATAAAGGTCAGCGCAAGCGTCCGGCACTTGAAAAGCCTACAAATTTCGAATATATTTCCAAGAAACAACTAGCTAAACTAGCTTCATTTATTTTGTGCATTTTGCAGCTCTTCAATGACTCGGAACTACTGGACACCTACGGCCTATCGTTTCCCATTGACAGCATGAGCGGTGACAAGAAAGGTAAGCTGGAGAAAATGCACAATCGTTGAGTTCTAAACTGAATTGAATTTCTATTCCTTGCAGCTTCGAACGGTTCGCAAATGATGGCCTATCAGCCCAGCCCGTACGATCTATCCGACATACTGGACACAGACGACAATGAAAAGAGCCAGGAGCCCATCAGTCGTCAGTCGTTTCAAACGCAGAGTTCAGTTTTGAATACACCGCGACACGATTTTTAATTCAGAGAATTTTGAGAGAAATTGCATCACCCAATAGCTGCTCAGAAAATGAACAAATGAGCAGTTAGAAGTTTTCGAAGTGTTGATTATCTCTTATACTTATTAGTTGATCTATATTTGTAATCAAATTAATATTAATATGAATATTCATTGATGTCTCTGTATGTGCCTTTTGCACTATATATATAATATATAGCCCTAACCCTAACCATAGACCCACTCTAGTTGTATAGACGAGAAGAAGAACCAGTTTAATATTTACGAGATATTCAGTTTTTTAATCGGTGAAAAGTGCGAGAGCCCCCCACAGACACACGCACACGTGTCGGGTCTCTCCGTTAGATAAATTTGTAGTTTTTGCGCTAAACGAAGATAACGATTAAATGTTACTCTGATTTGTATACAAGGTATAAGATCCTTATCTTTTTTTGTAGTTTATACGTTTTACACACTAATTTTAAAATAATGGAATAATAAAATACATACTATTCTGTGCTGCATCCCTCGCGAGCAGCAATTGAAATCAGAGGGATTCAAAAATAGGAAAGGGACCGGACTGGGCATGATTTGTGCACACTTTATTTTGTATTTCTGATGCTACAACTTAATAGATACGACGAGAGGGGACACTCACCAGGCTGCCTCGACGTAATAAATATATAAATACAAGATAACTTATGCTTATGCTACCTAGACACACAGGCAGACGCAGCAAGTACAAATTCTATGAAAATGGAATAGTACATAGGTGTGGTATAAGTGTGTAAAAAAAGAGTGCCTGTCTGTGGCTGTGTGGTTTGTTTAATCGATTGTATGCCTCAAATCGAAGGTTGTACGTATTGCATATGGATTAGAGATCGCCGTTCGCAGGCAGTAGTCCCTTAGGACTGGTCCTTGTACTTGGCATCCTTTAGAATGTTGGCGAATTCAAATTTAACCCTTTCCCGCTCCGACCTGGGCATGCTCCGTAGAGTGTCCACCAGTGAAAGGCAATACAGCTCAATGGGATCATTGATGGGCGCCAGGCTAGGCAGGGGGGCGACCATGGCCTTGCGTTTGGCTGCATTACCCATAATATCGCTGGCCGCCGTACGCCGTGTGGCCGCTGGCTTATATATGGGCTCTATGGTAACCTCTCCGTTCGAGAGGGAGCTGCTCTTGATGTCCTGATGATGCTGGTGGTGATGCTGATGCTGCGGCCGGTGCCGTTCCACAGGCACGTCTTGGTCAAACCCATTGCCCATGACCACCATGGGCGTGAGGAGGGGCGAGGAGGCCGGTGAGCTATAGAGGGTGTTGTTGCGACTATTATTGCTGCTGCTGTTGGTGCCATTCAAGGCCCCCTCAATGGAAACCTCCAACTTGGGCTCCATGACCAGCTGCAGCTCGGGCACGATTTCATTGTCGTCGCTGTGCGATCCATCCTCACTGTTGTCCAGCTCAATGATGTCATAGTTGCCCGACGCATCGACCGTCAAGTGCTCCGGATCGGGATAGAGGAAGCTGTTGCTGTCGTTGTCGCTGCTTCCATTATTGGGGGGCGCTGCAAATGTCTGGTTCTTCTTCACATTGTATGTTTGGGCGGTGTTCTGGAGAAAGGAGAGATCTTCCGTGAAGCGTCGCTTCCGTACGTTCGGATTTATTTGTCCTGTCTCGAGGCTCTTGATCTCCTGCAGATAATTGTAGCGTATGTTCTTCCATTTCGTCTGCAGGAAGCGTGCTGTGCGGGGGTGGGAAGACAAGTTGGGGTGGGTGGGTTAGCACTACAGCTTACTGGGGGACCATTCACATAAAAATTACTCACAGGAGGCGCCCAGCTCGTTGGCAATGCGATCCCATATGTCGACTCTCACTGGATTGCGGCGATAGTGCGGATGGCTGACATCGTAGATGGCTGGATTGGCACGGACCAGTTTTATCAAGCGATCGTCTGTGGGGTGGGTTGTTTTGTGGGAAAAATCGTTAAAATCCGTCAATCAGGCATTTGCTTTCTACGTTTCTTCGCCAGCAGAACAACCCCTAAGCGCAGAAGACGCGGCGGCCGGGCAGGACAATCGTCCTGTCCTGCATGGGGGGGTTGGTTTGATTCTGCAGCGCGACTCGTCTCTCTCTCTGTTTTGTGTATTGGCAAAACCATTAATGAAACTCACCGAATTCTGGTCCTGTAGTCTCGCGTTCTGCATAATATCGTTGCATTTTGTTGTCCAGCTTTGTACTTATCATAATACCCGTCAGCTCCTTTATTCAATCCGACTGTTCAATTTACTGCCATAGGCTGTGTGGTTCTTCTCAAGTTTTCGGATATGCTCTCAGCGACGCGACGACTCCAAAGCGTTATTTTGTTGTGCACATTAACCGTTTGACAGCTCTTCGTCTCTCTGTTTTTGTCTTACGCGCTCTGCGCAGTCTCACATTGAGGGGGCCTGCCAACTTGCATTGATTTGCAGTAAAACTCGGGTGCTGCCAGCCGAATGTTATCGATTGAAGGACATTTTATCAGGACTCTTTCATCACATCACTAGAGCGGCTTGACATTACATCAGGTTGGTATACCCTGCATAATATATTCTATTATTATATACTTTTCTGTATATTTTGACGTCGAAATTGTTTTCAAGATATATATATATACAATCAATCAATTTAATCAATTTCATCAATCTATTAAATTCAATATATTAAATTACATAGGGTATCGAAACTCCCATACGCTCTTTCTTAAAATTTTTCCTCCGAGGATTTTCTCTCTTTGGAACTATACTATATGTTATATGTTTTAGCTATCCAGTAATATTTAACCGAATATTAAAATAGAGGAATATGATTTCCGATCATGGACAGAGAACGATTAACCCATTGTCGACCAAAGTATAAATACGTATATCGGTTTATATTAAAGTGCTTTTCAAAATGACCGCCAAACTCCATTTGGCGCACAAAAAATACCGAAATTAAGCCGCGGAAAATTTTTCCGCAGCGATTATTCTTCTTCTTCCTTTTTGTGGAATTTTCTTTTTAGGGCTGCCAAATCGGTTTAAAGCGAATCGGTTATGAAACGGGTCAAAAAATATCCTGGTGTGGCAGCCCGCTGAATTAATTAAAGGTAAATTGGCAGTTTTGGTTGAACCTTTTTATGTAAACAATGCAATAAAAAGGACTTCTGAAAACTAGCCAATCCTGTAAAAAATGTATGTATCTATGGGGCTGAGAGGGCCAACTAGCTAGTAATAGTAAACTAAATATCAAAATCATGGAATACGAATTCAATCAATAAAATAGAACATTATCCCATTGTCGACCAGGGGGGTATTTAATATTTTCACGAAATTTATGTAACTTTAAAATATTTTACGCATTACAGTTGAAGGATGTCGTTGGTCATTTTTGTTTTGTAAGTAAAGAGGACAATGGAGCTACAAGGAGCCTTTACAAAGAGTATTGTTTTCCGCGGTTTCACAAAGGGTGCTCAACTTTTCAAATAGAGGGGTGTTAAGTGGGTTAAGTCTCGTTTGATCGCCGGACTGCCCTGATTTTTGTATGGTATGGTATTTAAATGGTATATCTCGAGACTGAAATGGTATTTAATGGTATGGTATTTATTTTTTTGCCAGGCGCGTTCTGAAAAACAACAACAAACACGGCTTGACTTGAGCATTTTCCACCGCTCTCGCGCTAAACACCAAACAGCACGTGTTTGTTTGTGCCGCAGCACATGCAACAAAATATGAATAACGGGAGATATGGAAGATTTGGAGCACTCATTGGCATTGCGTACGTGAGCGGCACTCACTGCAGATTTCTGGTAAGTAAGCCGAAAACGCACTCGTAACGCACACACACACAGGCACACGCAGCGTACGCATACGCATAGTCATACGGAGGGGTGTCTGGATGTATGGGTAGACAGCTGACTCAATATCTATTTCCATAGATTTACTCAACAAAAAACGCCGAAGTCTTGGCCTACCATGAGCTGAAGCTGCGCCAGATCGTCCACCAGGCCGGCTGGCTGGAATATGACCCCTCGGAGATCTGGAAATACATGCAGGAGTGCATTGAGGTAGCGTATCGCGAACTCTTCCGCCAGTTATATCATCAGGAACTAACCCAAGTAAATAACTTTGTAGACGGCGTACAAGAATTTGGTGATACTGGAAATCGATCCGCATGACATCATCGCCGTGGGCATTGTCAATCAGCGGGGCACAACCGTGCTGTGGAACAGGCTGACTGGCCAGCCGCTGTACAATGGCATTGGCTGGTCGGACAGTCGCAGCACCCCAGTCCTGAGAAAGGTCCTGCAAAACGTGAAGCAGAATGTGGATTATGTGAGACATCGCACTGGCCTCCCGCTGAGTGGTTGCTTCAGCGCCTTCAAGATTCGGTGGCTGATGGAGAATGTTCCGGCTGTTGGAGCTGCAATAAAAGAGGACAAGTGCCTTTTTGGCACTCTGGACTCGTGGCTGTTGTGGAACCTAACCGGTGGCGTCCAGGCGGGAGTTCACTCGACGGACATCACCAATGCGCACTACACTTCGCTGATGAACCTGTCCACCCAGCAGTGGGACGCAAAGCTGTGCCAATTCTTTAAGCTGCCCATAAACATACTGCCACGAATACGTTCCAATTCCGAAATATACGGCTATGTGCTCGACGGACCGCTGCTGGGAGTCCCAATAGCAGGGGTAATGGGCGAGCAGCCTGCCTGTTTGATGGGCCAACTGTGTATTAAGGCCGGCCAGAATGTCTGCACCCTGGACGACAGCTGCTTTGTCCTGCTCAACACGGGCACAGAAAAGCTTGAATCAGAGAATGGACTGATCACTGGAATAGCGCACCAGCTGGGACCCGCAGCGGCGACCAACTACAGCCTTGAAGGGGCCATTTCCAATGCCGGATCCACAGTCACTTGGCTACGCGAGAAGCTGCGCATCAATACCGAGATTAACTCCAACGACAATGTAGTGGAATCACTTAATACCTTCATCGGCGATAGCTCAATGATTTCCTCCTCCTGCTCATCCTCCATGCTCAATACTGAATGCGGTCTGGCGGCCAAACGGTCAGAGATTACCCTTGTGCCAGCCTTTCATGGTCTGTATGCTCCCTATTGGCGCTATGATGCCAGAGGCATAATTCTGGGCCTGTCCAGTCAGACTACGGCGGAGAACATTACACAGGCTGCGTACGAGGCGACCGGCTTTCAGATCTACGAAGTTCTCGAGGCATTTAAGCGGGACACGCCCAACTGGGATCACTCGTGCATGCATCCAGTGCTCACTTTCGGCGGCGAGTACGCGGAGGACACACACCTGGTGCAGTTCATAGCGGATATCATGGGCTACATGCTGGAGCGGCCGCAGACCGCCTCGCCAGCTGGTCTGGGAGTCATGATGGCGGCCGGCGTTACCATGGGCGTGGTATCCCTAGAATATGCAATCAAGATGTATGCTCCACCGACAGACGTATTCTCACCCACCACCACACGGAACCGTAAGTGCAGGGGTATAACTAACATAGCAGGCATAATGGAACTGATTTTGAGTTTATTCCGCAGGTCGAGAGGTGCTCTACAGGCGCTGGGACTATGCGGTGAAGAGGTGCCTGCACTGGAACAATTTCGAGACATACGAGGCAGATATCGAGCTGTTCTCGCAGCGCGAGCGTGATCCCAATCTAGCCATACGGCGATCAATACCAGGCAGCGTGTTCATGGTCTCATCGTTTGCTCTGCTCCTGCTTGCCAGGTACCTGCACAACAATCCTCTGACCTAATGCGCATCGGAGGAGCAAGGGGGAGGAGCGACCCCGTGCAATCTAGTCACGTTCAGCATGCGCATTCAAAATTAGTTGTTTAGCTTAGCATTTAGTCGTTTATAGTTAGTTCCCCTTAACGTTAGCTTTCTTTTGTACATAAACACTCTCGTATCATTTTTATACTTTGCCTGAGTCGTAGATCAAATGTTTGTGATTTACCATTGCACACACACCTTTAATGGATAAGTCAAGTCTATAAGCTTGTGCATACTCATCTGTTAAGTTATTCAGTTAGGGTTTATTTATGCAAGCGACTTATATTATTTTAAAGCCTAAAGACAAATCTTAAAGCTGTGAAGAGATGTACACACAATAGGCCTAAGCCCCTTTGGGCCTGCTTCCTGAAACATGTATGTATCTATATATATTGTTAAAACTGAGTAAACCAAAAAAGAATGTAGAAAACCAGCTGTCGAGAATGCATTTTCAAGTGGCCATTGGACCAGAGGTCGTGGGTGTAGCCATGCTGCGGTGGAGCAGCCCGGTACAAGTGGCTTCTGTTTCGCTGCTGAGATCCATTTGCCAGTTAATTAGCTGTCAGGCATACTCGACGGAGGAACGCATTCATTACCTGCTTGTGGATGCCATGCCTCTGTTCCCCAGCCACGCCACACAGAAATGCAGCTTAAGTTATTGCGCTTATTGTTGACACGCGAATGGCGGACAGAGCCCGGAGGACAGAGCATCTCGCCTGATGAAGAAGCAGCTGTGCCCATGCATAGTCCCTGCAGCCAATGTGCACTTGAACGCGTATCCACGGCTGGAGGAGGAGGTGGAGTCGCTGCTGGGGAGCACCCTCAACTGTTGTCTTTGCTGGCCATGGGAGTCGAGTGAGAAAGGCACTCTTTCAAATGAGTTTTTATGCGCGAGCGTTTGCCAAATACGCTACAGAAAGATGAGCGCGGCCTATCAGTGAGCGTTAAGCCTGCAGAAAGTGATAAAAATGAGAGTTTTACTGTTTACTGATTACTGATCACTGAATTCAAAAAATGAACCAATAGTTCGATAAGTGAACTCTTTGAAAGTTCCAGGTGCGATAACTGAACTCGATAACTGAAAGTTGGCAGCAATCGGATCGGATCGGCAACAAAAAACAAATGAAACGCAGGAATCCTAATAAAAAGTGTGTGTATCCCCCGCTAAAGAGTAAATTGTATAGTGTAGCTCATCAGAGCTGTCAGGCATACCGATTAGCATGAATCTCAGTCGCGTACTCGTATATCCTGGTCCACAGTCTGTAAAATTGGTTTGCATTTGAAGACAAAACGTCGAGGAAGCGAAGTAAAATGTGAATTTGTGCAAACAGGGACTCCCCTAGACCTACCTTCGTCCACTCCGCCACCGCGTTGATCAAACTCTGGCTGCGAGGAGTTCGTGGGGGAGGCGTGGCAGCGTCCAAGACGTAAGTAAACTTTGCACGTAGTCAATTTAAATAAATTAACACGGGGTGTTGGTTGTCTGTGTGTGTGTGCAAGGGTGATAGATAAGGGAACGCGGGGGGGAGAGTAAGCTTATCGGTGAACCACTCCCCACCCCTCTCGCTTGATGGGTTATTTGACTTCGTTCCTGCTGCGTCCCACTGCGTCCCACTGTGCTGCAATATGCCAAAATACGAACAAAAATTTGACATGGCCACGTAGCCAGGACGATTCCCTGTGC